GGGTTTTGGCGGTTTTTTTTTTGGTGGACTGACGGGTAACTAGTCGTGGCCAAGGTGCAAGCGCAGGTCTGTGATTTCCCTGTGCGGTCAAGAAGAGCAGACCTTTTGGCAACATTATCGATCGAGATCCCGGCTTTCTTCGCAGTCCTGCTTAGGCTTTACTCCCGATGGTACACGTCCTCCAGATTTGAGTTGGATGATTGGATCATGATATTTGTAACGGTCGGTCCAATCCTCCCCAAGGAAGAATACTGGACTTACAGCGACTCGAGATTCTTTATCTAGCGTTCGTTGTTCTGGGACAATACAGTATGTTTTGTCTGCCCAAATGAGACCGTTCGGGCTGCTAACAGTCTCAAAGTTGGAGCGCTGTCATTTGGTGTTGACGTGTGGTTGGTGTCAATAGACACCATTACCTTTGCCTTGAAAGTGGTGATACCCGACATTCGATTTTTTGACTCGGCTAATGACCTCCCTATAGCTCTTTTACGTCGGTGAAAGTTTCTACTTGGCCATCATCGCGCTTACGAAGATTTCGATCCTCTGCTTCTACTTACGCATCTTCCCCAGCCGCCGATTCCATATCGCAACGTACGTGGTGGTCGTATGGGTGGCTATGGCAGGCGTTGTCTTTCTCTTCATGCAGATCTTCCAATGCGTTCCGGTCTCGTACAGCTGGGAAGGCTGGATGGGTGCCGGTGTCTTTGGTGATGCAAGCAACGATCATTGCATTAATGTCAATACGCTGACATACACCGCCGCTGCCTTCAGCATCGCCCAGGACATTGTCATCCTCGTCCTACCGGTCCCTCTGTTGCTTAAGCTACACACCAGCAAACGGCGTAAAGCTGGCATACTGATCATGTTCAGCCTAGGCATCTTCGTCCTCATCACGAGTTGCGTTCGGCTCCGCTTCATCGTGCGATTTGCTCGCAGTACCAACCCGACCTGGGATTATACCGACAGTCTCATATGGTCGGGTCTCGAGGTTGCCGTGTCCATCATCGTCACTAGCCTTCCCGCTATTCGAGTACTTTTGAATCGCGTGCTTCCGAAGGTATGGCTCTTCGCTGCTTCGTCGGCGCGACGGTCCACAGACGGCCGTGGTGGGATGTCAGCGTCAGCCGGCATCGAAGGCACGCCGGTCGATGGACCGAAGCGCCCTGCGCGGTCGCTCTCCGGCGGTGGACGGGCGCCGAGGCCGGTGCGTTCGGCACAGAGCCGCCTGTTCAGCTTGATGGCTGGCAGTCGGAGCAGTCTGAACGAGAGCGAGATAGAGCTAGGCGATATGTCAAAAGGCGAGATCGCTTCTGCCAGGACGCCGAGAGGTGAAGCGAGCACCAGCTACGGGGGCGGGACTAGTAGAATACAGGTCCAAACAACTACAACAATCGAGGGGACACCGCGGGCCAGAGGCTGATTGTGGCGCGAGAAAAGACATTAGACGTAGAAATTAGATCCAAATTCAATACCAGTGGGCTTTCGGTCGAACTTTGCCAACCTAACGCGGTCTGGGTGGTTTGGTAAGCCTTAGTGACGAACGCTGAACGGTGATGTTTGCTTGCATTGAGGCGCTACTGGGGTACATTCAGATTCCGCCAGCATTCCAGCGGACGACTGCCGAAACAGAGGCCAGCGCTGACCGCATGCGGCTCGGGCTGCTTGTCTCTCGTACCTTGCAGCTGGTTAAACATGACGTCCAACCTTTCAATGGGAGAAATCGCCGGCACGCATGCATCCATTTACACAAAGCGGCTGCATCGTGCTGATGTCCTCCATTGACTCCAGAACGTCGGGATGCGTCAAAGACTCTTTTAACGGACGTTGAACTGTATAAATCAGGCAATCGCACATGAACATCTATTCCAGGATGGGCGTGGGAATTTCTTGCCTAATCCTGACATGCTATAGAGAAGATTCGCTAGGTCTGTGAGCTATCTGAAGTGTCTTGACAACGACTAAATACGGTCGTGTGCTTAAGTCCGACCACCTGGGCATCCATCATCCCCCAAAGCGAGTAGGCGTGCGTGAATTACCCGCTAAGCATCCTTCTGGAATGCGAGTGGCTGGTGTTCGGGTGGAGCTAAGAGAGCCGCAAACGGCACATCCTTGGGCTAAATTAACGACGCTCCCCAAACCGATAAGTAAACACCACGACTCCTCCATCGTCGCATTTCGTCCATTTCAACAACACTTCACTCTTCGCTCCGGAAGAACAGCAACACTCGCTCTTCGACCTTCTATCGAGTGAACTACGCGTGAATTACATTGATTACACGTCAAAAATCAAGCGCACTCCCGCATCACATCACGAGACTAAAAACAACGATGGTTACTACACGTGGAACGAACCGACCGGCTATTGACGCCGAGTCGAAGGCCAAGACGATGGCGCATATGAACAAGGAGCACAAGCACGATCTTTCGCTCTATCTACAACACTTCGCCGGCCTGTCCGCCACTGCCGCGGTAGATTCGGAGCTCGTTGACATGGACACCCAGACTTTGACCATTCGCTCCACCAACGACACGACCATTATACCGTTTACCCCGCCCCTCGAGTCTTGGAACGACCGCCGTTCTCGCTTGGTCGAAATGTCTGCCGAGGCCGAGAAAGCGGTCGCGCTGCGCAACGGCGTAGTATACTATGCACCTCGGGGCCTACACTGGATCTCCTTCGCCGGCGTCACATTCTACTACATCTGCGCGGCGCTCGTCTTCAGCGGCTTCGTTGAACCCAAGTCGCCGATATCTCATGCCCTTGACAAGTCGGGGTTCCCGTACGGCGCGTGGGGGTTCAGATGGATTGTCAGGGCAATCTTCTTGCCGGTGCTGGGGATTCATGTGGTGGAGAGCTTCTGGTTCGAGCGCACCCGCTTGCACCCAGCGGGCGTCCGGCGCGGGTCGGTTGTCTGGTTTCTGTGGCTAGCCTCGACCTTCTTGGAAGGCATCACTGCCTTTTTGCGCTGGGATGAATTGGTGAAGGGCAAGAGAACGCATGCGAAGACGCACTGATGAGATGAATGAGACGAGGGGTGGTACAATTACATTATTGAAAGCAATAGCCCAGTCCAGTCGTGCTTTACGAAGTTTATGCCATAGAACTAATTGAGAATCGAATACATCGTCCAAATATCTCATTTCTGCCATCCCTGCCATTTCGGTCTGTAGGGCCACACAAGCTGCCCGTCTGTCGCGAGACCTGCAATGTGATCATATGGCCCAAAGTCTTTCGTCGTGTATTGTTAGTCACAGTGGGTGGGGCTAGAAGAACAGAGAAGATATTTACACAAGGCAGAGTGGCTCACATGATATGCAAAAACCAGACTTAGGAGAATGCGGACCATGGTCCTCTACTCGAACGTCGACTTATACTTTGGCCGTTGAGCGGAACCAGTAAAAAAGCAGAACGGTCTTCAACGTCTCACTGACGCAAGGGCCGTGTATTTGCATATTCAAACTGTATTATGGCGTCTCAGCCAATGGCCTTATACCAACTTGCGATGGGGACGGGAACGGGGAGATTATAAAATTGGTGTCAAAAATTCCAATAATGCTGCACCGGATTATTATGGACAGAGTCCTAGATCTGAGTCGCCGACAAAATATGTCATTTTGGTTCAATGAGCACACTTCTATTTTTTTGGCTGTAGAGTTCTGGTAATGCCATTGAAGTGACTGTTGAGGGAATACTTTCTCGGTCGTAATTTGGGTACGTGTGGGACGATTCCAGCGAGCAAGACCCAATTTGTCGATAACATATCGGAGCAAAGTGAGCATTTGCGAACCTTCTGCTCCGGAGATAGCTATATATATGGAATCCATAGGGTTCATCTTTTTGTAAACTTGCTCTCAAATACTCCTCAGGTTGACACCAAGACCCACACCAACCCGTTTTGACAACCTCATATAAGAGATTTGTTACTATTCTTTTCGCGATCTTTAAATATCAATCTGACCAAAATGCTCCAAGATTTGGGTCAACCAAGATCTTTCTTCTTTCCAGAAGAGTCATTTCTCGTAGACTGTAACTTAAAATTCTCTGCTCAAATATAAGAAGGGGAGCATCCCCGAGAAGTTCCCCGTCCCTTTCATTTTCTCCGTTACCTCTACATACTCGTTTTGTCCACTTCATGTGTGACGTTTTTGGAAAACATCATTCGAATTCTCTTCTCGCGCTCATATCATTTCTGACACGCGTACAAATTCTGTTCTATTAGAAAGCCTCACTTCACTTGTCGTAGAGGGATAAAATACTATTCGCGCAAGGCAAAGACTAGAGCCCAGTCACAATGGCCAATTCAAGCGCTCAAATCTCAATTGAGGAGGCGGTGGTACAATACCTACCATCTTCAGAAACTCCAGCAGCTAAGAAACGCAAGTCCCAAGATGTTGCAGATGGTCCTTCCTCATCTCCAAAAAGAAAGTGCAAACCGCACGCCTGCCTTCGCTGCAGAAAATCACACATCGATTGCGGTGGGAACCTACCAGGCACATCAGCCTGCAAGGCCTGTACCAAAAAGAAGCACACCTGCGAATACGGCACTGATGACAGGACTAACACCTCTAAGAGAGATGAACTTGCACGCCGAATACAGAGCTTCAAAGAAACTGTAAACGATTATTACAACGTCATTTACTCAATGTATTTGAGTCTCACCCGTCCTGACCTAAACTCTCCGGGTGCAGCTACCGCAAACCTTGCGCGAGAGCAATGCGGTATCCTCACACCTAAGATAATTTGCCAGATGCTGGAAAACAAAGGCTGGGCATACGTTCCATCACCCAGCTATCCCCAATTCTGCGCAACAGCCGGAACCATGACCTCGGAGGGTGTCAAACTCAATGACACTCGAAAAGCCATCAATGCATTCAAGAAGAACGCTCAAGATTATGTTAAGCATCTGCACACAGCATACCGCATGCTTGGAGAGCGACTACCGGTCCCACAAGACCCGGTAATTGAATGCATTGGCAGCACACTGACAAAGAACATCATGTTCTTGACCGAGGACTTCGAATACCTCGCGACATTGGATGATAATCCGCATCGTTCTATCTCGCCTAGTGAGATAGCTAACATCGACAATGAACTCGATAAAGATGTTCGATCGTCCACGCCTCCACGCGCTGCACAACCCTCGCCATCACTCAGCAAGTCTTTTGAGTACATTGACCTCACTGGCGATGACACTCCTGATGATGGTGGTTCAATTCAATCAAATGACAGAACCCCATCACTGTCGTATGGGTCTAGCAGTGAGGCACTTCAAACACTAGCTGGATCAAACCAGCCAGCTCAGGCGCCTGTACAGCCTGCCACCGGCTGGGATAATTCACTTGATCTTGATCTTCTGGGAGTCGGTGACTGGGCCAACAACGCGTCTCTGGAGTCACTCATTCCTGACCCGTTCTTTGACATGGAGGAGGCGTTGGGCTTTCAAGCCCTGCAGAATGCGCTGAAAGAGCCGGATCACAGCACGGAGAACGAGCCAGGCATGTTCAACTGGCCAACAGAATTTACTGGTGAATACGAGAATATTTTTGCGGAGGAAATTCCAGGCTTTGATCTGGGGCTGGCTCCATCGGATCATCAGCCCCCTTCTCAAATCTGAGGGAAATGAGAGGATGAGACTGAGTTTATGGGTATGACACGTTTTTGGAAGCATTCGATATGAGGAAGAGGTTCAGAGGTCGCCTCTAAAGGCGTTGAGGGGAAAACTTGGCAGAGTTCAGGCGTCATTTCATCTCGTGCTTGGAGAGGCTTGCATTTGGGACTGTACAAAACTAAGAGTATCATGAAAGAGGATCGGGTTAAAGGAACATGGTGGTACCTATTGGCATGAATGAACCATCCATTTTGTACACAGGCATTTGAAATTGTGGTGAGTGTCATTAACGTATTTCAATTATACATTATAATTTCATCCAATGAATCTTGAAATGCCCGCTAGATATGTAGATTGGTGCCATCAAAGTTTTGTATGTCAGCCTATAATCAATCCCTAGGGTTACTCCATTTAAACCGTGATATTTTTCTCTTAAACTTGTATTGTGTGTATACATCACTGGTAGTCTACATACAACGCATCATCATGCTATTTCTTTCATATGTTTGGCCTGTTTAGCTCGTGAATATGTTCAATGGGAAGTTGTCGGCGATTGCCTGGTATCCAGCCACACTTGGATGTAAGTGATCGCCGCTATCAAAACTGCTCTTCAAATTAGCGCCTTGCCCAATGATAGCAGAAAAGTCCACCGCGTGATCAAAGTTGCCTGCAGCCATTATCCACTGATTGACTGTTTGCCGTGCCTGTTCATGAGAGCCTCCTGAATAACTATTTCCGCCGAAGGGTGTGATAGTAGCTCCAATAGTGATGAACCCCGCTTTTTTGCAGTCGGCAATAATCTGTTTATATGCACTGATGAGCTGATTTGCGACATTACCGCCGCTACTTCCAATATCATTGACCCCCTCGAAGATCATGACGTATTTCACGCCTTGCTGCTCGAGTGCATCACGCTTATATCTGGACAGGAGGTAGGGGCCAAGGCCACCAGACAAGACTGCGTTGCCACCGGCCGCCTGATTTCCAATGCCAATATTTCCGAGGCCATTCTTCTGCATACGCGCGAGGAGGAGATCGGGCCATCTAAGTTAGTCGATCAGAATAAAACTTCTCTCTTACGATCATGAAAGAGTCCTACCTATTGTTCTTGTCGTCATCGCTACCACGACCATCTGTGATACTATCACCCAAGATAATGAGGGCAGTCGTGTTGGCTGGAGCCCATGCTTCGACCGCACTAACGAAGTACCTGTCCTATGATTGAGCTGAGTTGTTCAGCGATCTTGATGTTAACTTCATACCAATGCTTAGTGTTTGCCCCAGTTACAGTTGAGGCGTTGACCTTATTCCCCTGTTGCATCCAGGAAGTTGTTCGGCTGCCAGGATGGCCTGTGATCTTGTTACTAGACTGACCAGCCTGTGAATAGAGCGTCACAGTGAGCATTGATTGAGGCTCGATCTTGAAGTCGACAGGATCGGAATAAATGACTTGACCGCGAGGAACCGTCACCGAACTCGCACCCTTGAATGTGAGTCCCATCAATGTAGTCGTGTCGATACCATTCACGCCGATTTTCGTGCCCGTTGGCAGAGCTAGTGACGCTGCCGTTATTGGTAAATCACTCCCTCCAAATGTATTCGAGATTTGCACACGAATACGATCTCCGCCTATAGACATGTGAAGTGTTTGGCGTAGTGTCGCATCCTTGAACATCGAGCTTCCACCATTCTGTAGGGTAGCTTGGTCAATTTTCGTCGACGTAATAAGTCCTTACGAAGCTCCTTACAAATGGAGATGGTGGCAGGTTACTTTGCTCAACTTCTTGTGGCATTGATGTCCATGTTGTAACCCAGTGATTATCATCATCTGCGGGTGTAAGTCCTGTCTCTGTAGTCGGGACAGCGACAACAAGCCCTAAGAGCAACAGGAAAACGATCGGCTTAATGTGTCGATCCAACATCATGAAAATTTCAATTAAACTGGTATGTTTGCCAGCCGACTTGTTCCTCGTCTGAGACCTCTAACGAATTGAGATCCTCGATCCTTGGCGTAGGCATTCATCGTTGATTCGTGTTCTGTGGGTGGTCTTGGCTTATGTAGTCGGCTGATGCGGCACCGGAAGGAAGACGTCCTTATTCCCAAATGATATACATCTGCCAAATTTTGCCAAATAAAGTTATAGCTTGACAATGTAGGGAAGCGTGGCTAAATTAATAAGTTGAGAGCCATATGCTTAAAGCTCTGTTCCTACACAGGCATATGTTCTATATAGCCGCGACCTTCCTGACGATGCAGAAATCTAACAACTGGCTTCCTATTTCTCAGTGATACATTGGACCTACTAGCTGACATAATACAATGCTGCTCGTCTCCTCATCATCACATTCATTTTTAGCGGAACTCTACTAGCCGCTCTCATCCAGTACGGTCTTGTTGCATCATCA